TGAGGTTGTGTCCTACGAATTCGAATTGTCGGATAGCTGCGACGCTCTGTCCTAGTGTGCCTCTTTTCCATCCACCTGACTCGTGCTGAAAGTCACGGTCAAACGGATACGGGGCCTGAAGCAACATGATTAAATCGTGGCTCGGGTGGTAAAGAGGAGTCGTGTGGCGCACGGGTACTTCATGCTCCACCATCCTCCAGGAATCATCACGTTCTCGTGCATAGGTCGACTTGCGCCAATCTGACATCCAGCTTGGAAACTTGGATGTGGTCGCTGCCTGGAACACGAATCTGCATCCTCACTTTCTCTTTCTGAGGTGCAGCATCGGAGCCGATCCAGGTCATCCGATCATGCTCGTTTAAGTTCTTCTGGGCTGATCTCTGAGGCCTGGAACCTGATGCTGTAGACATCGCTTCGAACCCATGGGTGAATCTCTTCGGCTCCCCAAAACGAACTTAAATCACCCATTGGTCTGTCTATGGTGGTGAACGGGATGGAGTGCGTGGAGCTCTTGGCTTATCTGGGGATCTCTCACGATGTCTCCTATCGAATCGTCTCGGGCGCCTCGACAAACTACTCCGGCTTCTCGAACAAGATACGCCGCGTCCGCGGTCGCTCTCCTTGCTTGCTTGCACCTGGGCGCGCAACTCATCCAGTCCTTTGTGCAAAAAGTCTAACGTCTTCTCAAGTGTGGATCTGCTTGCAGTCCCGGCATCACGCTCCCGACTGTCTCGACGATCTCTCGCAGATCTCGAACTGACCCTGTCACTCGAGTCACGATATCCCCTTGCAGGTGGCGGACGTGGTGGTGAAGGTGGCCTCCGCGATGAAGACGGCTTGTACGACATATAGCTCCCTGTGGACTCTCTGCGCTCATGTCTGTATTCGTCCTGGCTATTATCATCCCCATACCGACGGCTTGTTCTTGCACGTGCTCGTCCTCTCTCGGAGGAGCTCTTTGGTTTCAACTCTGGAAGGACAGGTGGAGGTGTAGGAAGCTGTCTCCTCCATAGAGTTGTATCCTGTGGGGTTCTTGCTGGAGAATTGACGGTGCTCGTCTCTTCCTCGAGCTCGACTAGCTCATCTTCTTCAGCCTCTGGAGTGTCCTGTTCCTCCTCCTCGTCGGCCTCTGGCTCGACTGCTGCTTCAGGGGTCGAAGACGCTGTGGCCTGGCCAAGTGGATTTGTCATAGCTGCAGCTGACAAGCCAAACTCTCTCGTGAACAATGGAAAACACTGGGCTGCCAATTGATGGAGTCTACCTGCGTCATCCAATCTGCACATCTCACACCTAGCTCCACATCTCATGTGGCGCCATGAGTGTGACCCTGCATGATGAACACGAGCTGGCATGCCAAGCATATGCATAAGAAATGCAAACATAGTTGCTGCAGACACCGATCTATGGCGGGCACTCTTGCATCGAAAGATAATGATCGCCCTGCCATTCCCACGCTCAACTGCTACTCTGGCCTTCCTAAGATGAGTCAACAACTTCTGCTTGCAAGAATTCAAGATACCTCCAATCACCATTGGATGCCTTCCAATGTGACTGCCTGTCATGGTGAGGATCATTGAGGTCTCTGCAGTCGATCTCTTCAACAACGGCTGGATCTCCATGGACTTTTGGAACACTTGTTTCCTGGGTGGCACTCACAACTGTCACCCCATTGAACATAGTCCATGGGACACCTTCCAATCCCGACAGCTTTTGCAACACTGCTGCTCCAGGTTCATCTGCACCAACTGCGGCCATGGCAATGCTGCGACCCGGAGTGTCGAAAGGATGTGGGACGTACCGTCTGAGGAACTTGTGACTTGAAGGGTCCATGTCATCCAAACCCCGTGTGAGATTCAAAAGGAGTAGGCCCGTGCGTGAGCACTTGAACAATGGAATCATGTACCTTTGACCTTTCTTCATGACTGAAACAGTACCACGAGTCAAATCCTTGATCATACCCAATGCAACCTGGCAGTACAAAGAAATCAACAAAGGTGTCTCACCCGTGCTTACCTCATATGATTCCAAATGACCATAAATCGACTCCTCTCCGTTTTGGGCCTGCAGTGCAAATGGCATGGAACGTCTACCCTTGGTTGTGGACTTACTACCTAGGCCTATGGAGGTAGGTGCATCAGCATCCTCCTTCCACTGGAACGAATAGCCTCTGGCTTCTAGTTTCTTGATGGCCATTTCACCCCATGCTGAACTGTGACAAGTGGTGTTGCACCCTTCATCCAAAGCTGCATACACGTGGGGGTCATCGGGATCCATCACGTCAACTGTTGGGAGATTGAGCGTGACAGTTGCAGTGGTCTGATTGACAGCCACAGCTGTGAATGAAGTCGGTTCAGGGAACTCAAAACTGCCATCATCTTCCAACGGGTCCTGCTCGTTGGCGTTGGCCACCAGTGCTTCATCCAGAATCTGGTGAAGTGATGCCGTTGTATGTCCTGTCTGGCACGAGACTTGTTCGTTGAAATGTGCAACAACGGCTTCAACCACTTCATCTGACAACTCCTGGTTGGCTTCAACACTGGTGATGTTTTGAACAACACGAAAAACATCTTCAGGGGTCTCTTCAGTCCTCTTGCCTACTGCAACCCTCTGCTTCCTAAGATCTGCAGGCTCTTCATGTACGAAGTTACTACACTGCTTACAAAACATGCGAGACGTAGTCTTACTAGAACCTCTGCGATCAACCACTTCATGGGGGCAGTTCTCAAAGGTGTAGGGGTACCTTTCTTCCCTTCTGGTTGTGGTGGAGTTTCCGCAAGCGAAGCATGTGGCCTTGATGGTGTAGGCAGTTGAACCTTTATAGCTAAACTCTTCACAATTTCGACATTTCTCCAAAGGGGGAAATGGGGGTGTTCTCTTGGCAACACTCTTGGACTTAGGCGCTGGCATCTTGGCAACAGGTCCTCTGTAGGCTTGAACGACGGCTGTCGACGACGACGAGGACGCTTGCGACGCGTAACCCTGAGCTTGTGGAGGGGGACTCTTGGGCATGACCTTAGGCCTAGCTGCCATGGAAATGTCACTGGAGACTTCATCAGATGCTCTGGGTTGCTCTCTCCTAGATGGCTTGGGGCACACTACGAATGCAGCAGCATGATCTAGAGTTGATGGGCTTAGCACTACTTCTTCTTCATCACATGAAGACTCTGAGATACACGCCTACATTGCCATGCGTGCCTGTGGACTGGATCCCTTCTGTGAGGGTCCATTGCTGGGTGATGGCTTCCTGGCACCTGGGAACTTACACGCTGGATCACCTGCCCAGTGTCCAGTGGCTCCACACCTCATGCAACGACTCTTGCTCTTGATCTCCTGCAACTTGGCACGCCTTTGCGCCAAAGTCAAACCACTCTTGATGACCTTGCCTTTGCCTTTGCCTTTTCCTTTCTTTCCTTTTGCTTTCCCAAATGCGGCAAGTGCAGCAATCTGTAACTGGATGGATTCTCCTAACGATGATGCATCAATGTCTTGACTGCCTTCCAGGTCAGCCATGGCGTTGAGTGCAATACTCTCCCATTCTTCAACTTCTTCATGCTCATATTCATCTTCCTCTGGTTCTTCTTCATCAGCTCCTGCAAGCAAACCAACAAGGGGCTCTTCATCTTCCACAATATCTTCTGCAACTTCTTCTTCCCAGTCGTCTTGAACGCTGGTGCGTGGATGGTTTTTTCTTTTCCTGATCCCATGCTGGGTCCTTGATGGCCCAGGGGTCTTCCACCTCTCAAGTGCACAGAACCATAGTGCTCGATCAACGTGTTGGCAACCTTCCCGAATGACAATGGACTTCCTGCGCAAGCCTTGATGACCAAAGCTTCTTGATGCGTCAATCCCGACAATTCAATGAGGAGTTCACAGCGCATGGGTTCACTCAACGAAGTGGAGGAGTCCAACTCCTGCAGCGTGCGCCACCATCTCCTACGCCTGTCACAGTAGGATCTCATTGATTCACTAGGCTGCCTGCTCAAGGGGCCAGATCTGACCTGACCAATGCAGAAGAGTTCCCTAGCCTCTTCACTAGCTCTTGGAAACACTGACTGCTTGATACGATGCACTAGTTCACGCATACCGCCATCGGCAACCAAAGCGTTGATACCCATGTCTCTAGCTACCAAGAAGGCGTCACCTCTCAAACCTTCCATGACCTTGGACATGAGGTTGGTTCTATCCTTAATGATGTCTGCTTCAATGGTCTTGGACCTGGTGGTTGCTCCCTCTGACGACTTTGGGGACTTTGCACCTGAGGCCTTGGGGGCTTCTGTGGATGGAAACTTCTCGTATCCTTCCTCGTCTAATCCCGCTTCAAATTCATCACGCTCCTTCTTCTCATCCTCGGCGGTTTCGAGGCCAGCTCTGGCAGCTGCCTCATTGGCTTCAAGAATCTGGATCTTGAGGAGCACGCGAAATTCCCAATCATGGAAAGACTGGGGGTCTCCCCACTAGATCACGGAGCCAGTCTTGGTCTCCACAGGTCCCGTCGACGAGAAAGCATCGGCTCCAAACCGGAGTCCGTTCACGCTCATGACGAAGGACGAATTACTACGAATTTAGCACCAATGCACGAAGCAAAGCACAGTGGATTGGGCTCGGTTCTACGATTCCTGGATCGTCCTACACAGTCCTGAGTCTGGTCCTCTGCAGGATCCAGATCCGCTACCAGTATGAAACTGGTGTGACTGGGCGGACACGCACACTTTTCTAGCCTAGACTCAAGGGCCCTGGTAAGCCGAAATGTCGCGAAACAAACTGTACAAACAACAGGAGGGATCAAGCATCGCATCTCGCAACCTGGTCTTTACATGGATAAGTGAGGGTGGATTCACATGACTTATGAGGTATATTCAAACCAAAAACCCTTTGGATCCGTATTGGTAGGAAAAGGCTGTGTTTTGGGTGCAACAAAAACAATTCAATTTTGGTTCTAGGCATGTCTATCGCAGGCCCACTTTTGTTGATGTGCTCCTTCCCCTGTGCTGTCGAGGCTCGTGTGAGCGGTTGCACCTCGTGATCCAAAACCATGGCAACTCCCTTGATTCCACCCCTTAAAGCCCTTGCAAAAGCGCTGTCCATTGGATCGTCGGCCAGTTCGGCTGCGATATTCCACTGGTTGTTGGCCTGGGCCAGCAGAAATGAAAGCGTGACAAAGCCTGGACACCATTGCTGTGGGTCAGGAGACACCACACATGCATGCCTGACAAGTGAGCATTTTTTGCACTACAACATACCGACAAGTGTGAAAGGAGTTCACCCACTGGCGATTGAGAAGTCTTTATGTGGCGAAAGATGTGGAGGGGTCACCCACTGGTGAAACGGTTCAAAGATGTCACAGGTTTCACCGGTCCCGACAAGTGTAAAATGCAGAATACTTCATTGTAGTCGACCCAGCTTCAGTGAAGAGGGTTGTCGCTGGGATGGAACAGCTGCAACAATTAAGGAAGAGTCCAAATACAGGCGTCGATCAGGATGGCTAGTTTGTATCTGTCGTGTTGCGTCCAATAGCCCCAGAAAGATTTCTGTCTCTGCTTATTCATATTTGGGACGCTTAAAATGACATAAGTGTGATGTTCAAAACCCTTGACGAAAGGCTTGGGCAAGGATTTGGTTGAGGCTTGAGTGTGGGGCATTTTTCAACATGAGCTCATGCAAACCTTGCACAAGCAAAGCGGGAGCTTGCGCGAGCTTGATCAAGAACACATTACAAAACATGTTTGACGCCGGATTTAAACGTGGCTCGTGTGTTGCCCTCCCAAACAGCCACCTTTCATGACATGAAAACGAACCTCAATACGTCCCTTCCCATAGATTACACAACAGCAAGGTCTGAAAAAGATTTTTTTTTTGCAAGGCACCAAAACACTATGGTCCATGCCTCCTGAAAGAAAGTGCCCTTAGAGTCTCTTTCTCTCTCTCTCTCTCTTTCTCTCTTCATTCATGTCCTACCGTTTGATACCCTTCCCGAGCTTCAATTGGAACTTATCTGAGCACAGTTCAGATCCAAGTGACAAAAGAACAAATCCAATATGCTGCGTCCATCCAAGATGTAGGGCCTTCCTTGGACAGGGCGTGGCAGCCAATGGAGTGCACAAAATGGGAGAAGCTTGTGCCCCAGGAATGTGACCTTAGCTCTGCAGGGTGAGCCAAGGCTGGGCTCAGGTTCCACCCTGGAATGGCAGAAGGATGTAGAAGGTCATAGACTGCCTTCAGGGAGGGCCCTACTTCCAATGAGTTGGAGTAAGACTCACCATCTGTCGACATGTGGTTTCCTATTTTTGCCCATCTCTGAAGACCCAAACATCGGAAGGCATTGTAGCAGCATCCCGGTGCTCTCATGAAGCTTTCAGAATAGAAGAAGATAATTCAAAGCGCAACTACTTTCAGGCACCCTTGACCGATGTAGAAGCAAGGGATTGAATTCTTGCACAATAACAGCCAGCTTTATGATCAAAGGGACACAAAGTAGTCCACCTGTTTGCCACCCCAAAGAGTCACGAAGGACACGCCTTTACTCTGCGTCAAGGGCCTTACAATGTTGGCCACGACAAAGTGCATATTCTGCTCCAAAATGAAGCCTCACAAGAGTCCGCACATGGACGGGTTTTGCGATTTGTTTTGGCATCCACTCAACACCTCTAGACACTGTGAACAAACCAACATCCTTTCGAAGCTTTCCGCCTCAAATGGCATAGAAGTACAAATGAAAAACAGTGAAAGCTTAGCTGATAAGAAGGTTCAGAAACTCTCGAAGTGCGACCACAATCCACGTAGTGTGAGGACCAACAGGCCCTGGTTGCGAGGAGGGGTGGCATCGGGCCCTGGATGTGGCTTGCAGTGGATTTGTTTCTGGTAGTCATCCAAAGCCTCTGAGAAGGGCGTTCTGCGGTACAGGCGTTGAATGAGCCATGACACCGGCCAGTGCAGCACTGCAGCCACAACAGCCATTGGAAGAGCAATGTAGAACACCGCAGTGACCTTTTCTAGGATGCACAAACGTAAACTGCCGGTCCCAATACATTTCATGACACCAATACTTAAGTGATACCTTCCGGTTGCGTTCCAAGTGACGATGGTATGTTCGATGCGATTTCCGGACATAACTGCGACTTTGATAATGCTGGGTAGCATTGCAAGCAAAAATGCCGTGACCATGAGCAGCATGAGCAGGAAACAAGTCTCTGTAGCGTGCAGAGACCCCCTGCAGGAAGCGCAATCAAATGGCACCAGTGCATCTTGAAGCAATAGCTTCCTCTGTGCCACGTTGCAAACATTGATGGCCTTTGGCTTTTGTGGATCAAAATCCAGCCATTGCAAACCAGTTCCCCTTGCACGATAATGCACTCTCTGGTGCACCAGTCGAGACATGCTCTTTGGAAGGCTGGTGATAGGACCCTTCGCTGAGATAATGAAGATCCTTTTGGCTGCCACTTCCGAGGGATCTTCCAAATCAGACCTGGCGTCAAGAACCACCAAAGGAGCCTGAAGGATCTCGAACATGATAAAGGTCAGGATCACGAACACTGCTGCACCTGTGAAGATAATTACACGCTCTTGCCTTTCATGCGGCAGCCAATGGCGAACGTCACGTTTGCCATCAGACCAAGGTCGGTAGATCTCACACGTGCGACAAACGCCATCCTGGAAGTAAGAGTGTCTGTGGCCTGAGTTATTGAGAAGGTGGCTAGGAAAAAAATAGAAAACAAGAGCACACATTGATCTTGTGACTGGCATGTATACCATCATTGGTTGAGCATGTTTGAGCCAACCGGTGAACATTTTAAAGGACCAAGCGGTCACTCGAGCGAGTTGCAGAACCTGCATGTCTGGAACATCTCTTCCAAAGCCACCTCTTCGACATCACGAAAGCGCTCGCGCGTGATCCTTCGAGGAATGCCATAGCCAACAAACGACAAGTTCACAAACGAACAAGAGCCAGTGAGCCCGAACGAACTAACAAAAAAGGATGTATAGTTGGTGTGGGACTTCAATGGTTTCCGTGGTTCTCTCCATGTTTTCTATGTGCACCCTGGTTATTAGAACATCACCACACTCGGAATGCACAAAAGAAAAATGCTCTGGGCAAACTTTAAAGACAAAACAAGACAAGAATCTGGTAGTTTGTGCATTCACATCGCTGCGTCAGCCCTTTCAACCTGGGAAGGGATGCGTAAGGTGGCTTCCAAAACGTTGAACGACAAATTCGCTGGGTTGACAGAAAACACACCAGAGTTGGTGGAAAAGGTTCAGGATGTCACTGAGGTTTGCCTCTTCTCAGCTAGTTTTGTAACAAGCAGCACTGTGGCCGTGTTAGAGCACTGGAGATTCTTTGGGCTCAAGGCTCGCAGGCTTCCATGCTGCCTGGTCTTGAAGGTAACTCCCTGTGTGCATTCTGGGCAGGAAACAGCCAACGAGTTGACGTCAAAGCCATCCTGGATATATTTCCGCGCAAGAAACACACATGTGGTAACCCGCTTGATTCAACGTCAAAGAAGGAAAGGCCTACTATCTCTGCGCGATGCTTCTTCACAACATTTTGACACACGCCACGAATGTAGCTACTGACTGCAACCGACTAGCGGTTTCAATTCTGACTGATTGCACTTTGAGAGGTGCATGTTCCCTTGTCAAACCCGGGACCAAAACCTTCCTCAGCATCTAGGATCTGCAGATTGTCCACTGGCGGCTGGTAGTGGATGTTGACATTGCCAACCACAACATAGCTGGGGCGTGTGGTGAGGAGAGAGCTATTCCAAGAGCGCAAATGAATTCCTGAGAGGCGCACCTCTTCATGAGGGCAGGCTTCTACTGACAGAAGGCCTGAGCTCAAGCGACCAGTTGCATTCAGGGCTGCGCCATCTGCCACTTGGAACGTGGTGTTCGCGCAAAGAGGGGAGCAGCCTGCATTTTGCAAGTCCAACCCATGCCCACCATTGATGTCTATGAGGACTAAATTTGAGTCGGGATGTAGTTGGAGGCAGCTCGCTACCAAAACAGCAGAGTTTGCATCGCCTTCTGCATGATGAATGTCTAAGCTGGACTGAGATGAAAGAAGCACCATGCCATCCACACGACCCGCGGTGCCTGTCCCCTCGGCAGCGGCATTGGCCATCGACATTGAGCTGTTGTGGATAGTCAGGACAGTGCCAACCTCGAACCCACCACCAGCTACTCCTGCATAAGTGTCGGACATGGCAACTGTAGATGCATCGGCAAGTGCAATGCTATCTTTAGCATAGAAACCTCCACCATACGCTCTTGCTGCCGCATGCCGAATAACCACTGCCGAGCTACTGATTGCAACCTTAGCACCAGCTGTGAATCCTCCACCAAGCTGTCCTCCAGCTGTTGCATTGAGAATGATGAGGCTGGAACCATTGCATATTTTTAGTTCTTTTTCTGCGGCAAAGCCTGCCCCGTCTCCAGAGTTTGTGTGGCTGTTGGAAATCTTCACTGTCGAGCTTTCGCCTATCTCGACCTCTCCTTGGGACAGGAATCCCCCTCCATTTTCTCCAGCCTTCAAATTTGTAAGGCTGAGTGTTGACTTGCTCGCTATCTGTAAACCGCTCTTCTCCACATGGAAACCACCACCGTGCCTTGCTGCTACTGCGTCAGTAATGCTCACGTGAGACATTTCAGCAATGACAACTTCGTCATATGCAACGAAACCTCCACCAAACCTTGCAGCTCTAGCATGCTGAATACCCACTGTCGAATTGCTCATCGAAACCTTGCCTTTAGCGTGAAATCCTCCACCCGATTCTCCAGCTGTTGCATTCAGAATGATGAGGGTGGAGTCAGCACAGATTTTCATATCTTCGAAAAGGGCGAAGCCTCCTCCACCTTCGGAGATAGCATGGCTGTTGGAAATCTCCACTGTCGAGCTTCCACCTATGTCAAGCTCTCCACTGGCACTGAACCCTCCACCATGTGTACCAGCTTGCGTTTTGTGAAGGTTGAGTATTGAATTGCTTGCCACCCTAAGACCCTTCTCCACATGGAAACCACCGCCATGTCCTGCTGCTACTGCGTCAGAAATGCTTGCATTTGACATTGCAGCGATCACAGCCTCGCCTTTTGCAAAGAAACCTCCACCAATATCCGCAGCTGTAGCATGCTGAATG